CAGACACACACACGCACGCACGCTTCACACGCACGCACGCACGCACGCACACACACAACATATATATATATAATCTACGTCTTTTTCGCGGAAATATCGTGTATTACACCGCTACTCTTTGTGAGGTGTGGCTAGCTTCGGTTCATGAAGAGTATCATTGACCAACTATACTGAACGCAAAAACAAGTTCAGACAGCGTGACAACGCGCAGCCTGTGACGGTCAAAACACGAACTTTTTACGCACAACGCACAATGTTTTCGATGAATATTTACTAGCGTGAGCTAGTAAGGATTATTGTCTGTGTATAGGTACACCGTTGACAATTCGACGCGATTTTCCATACAAGATGGCGCGTACGGAAGTTGTGGTGACCACCCCCGGAGGGCTTGTCACACCGATTTTAACTGAGGGCAATAGAGCATAAAGCTGAAGTTAATTACAGGGGGTCTCGCTTGCATATCCATTAGGCAGGCACGGTTCTCTGATCACAATCGCTTCTGTGTATAGCTGTGCTATCTCTCGCTCACACACACACTCTCTCTCTTCCTCTTTCTCTCTCTCTCTTTCTTTCGCGCTCACTCTCTCACACTCTGTCTTTCTCACACTCTCTCTTGCTCTCTCGCTCTCTCCCTCTCTCGCGCTCTCTCTCTCTCTCTCTCTCTCTCTTCTCTCTCTCTTCCTCCCACCTCTCTCTCTCTCTTCTCTCTCTTTTTTTTCTCTCTTTCTCTCTTTTCTCTAGCTCTCCCTCCGCTCTCTTCTTCCTCTCTCCTCGCCTTCTCCTCTCTTTCTCTCTCTCTCTCTCTCTCTCTCTCTCTCTCTCTCTCTCTCTCTCTCTCTCTCTCTCTCTCTCTCTCTCTCTAAGAGCGCGGTTGGTGTGGGGAGGGTCATCGGCAGGCTATCTTTATCGATCTTTCTCTTTCTCTTTCTCTCCGAAAACAGAACCTGTCGACGAACTCGATCTTTCTCCAAAATTCCAAAACAGAACATGTCGACAAAATCTGTGGCCGTCGGCAGCGATACGTCATCGAAGCGTGAAGTTTCGAACGCGACCGACGTGCTCCCTCTCACGTACGCGCTCTCGGCACTGCACTGTCGGCGCAGCAGCAGAGCCCGGCGAGGTTTTGTGCATGGAAAAAAGACCCGTCCGTCCGTCGCCGGGGGCATGAGAGAAGATTGGGAGAAACGCTTTCTTTCTCGCTTCGTTTCACCTTGCACTCTCTCAGCAGAGGCTGGTAGACTTTGTGAAAACACAGCGAAGTTTTGTGGAATCGGAGAGATCCGTCCGTTTCCATGTGAAAGGGGCAGAGCGGAAGAATTGGGAGAAATTGGTAGAAGCGCTTTCTTTCTTCGCGTTCCTCCTCGCTGGCACGGTGCGTTGTGTAGCTGCGTTACAACTATGATTCATCTTGAACTTCGTGTACGAATATTGTATACGTGCGTTACATATTTTATTCACTTCCGTGTGCGAGTCCGTGCGTCGTGAGTGGGACGTCGAGCGGTTAGGCTCTCGTACTAGTTGGTATCCACTGGATATAGTGAGAGAGGAAGAGAGCGGTGGAAGGACAAACATGTGGAAGAACCCAGCCGATACGATCGGACTGCGAAACGACAAATCTCTGCCGGAAATCTGGACGACTACCATCGCCATCGTTGCCATCGCCGCCTTCGTCACCGGTCTCTACGCCGTCGGTATCGTCAACGTCGGCATCGTCAACGTCCAGACGCCGACGCGGATTCGCGTCGTTCCGTTCGAGAAACAACAAACGACGTCCCCGTCCGCGTATTCTCGCCGAAACGAGACGATCTCGCGAGATCTCCCGAGAAGCTGCCCGCCGGGAAGGCGACGCAGACTTCCGGATTGCATCATCGTCGGCGCGGCGAAGTGCGGAACGTACGCGCTGCTCGACTACCTCTCGCTAAACCCGCTTGTCGTCGCTCGCCGACGCATCCCGATAGAGATCAACTACTTCAACGTGAACTACGGACGAGGCGTGGAGTGGTACGCGCGCCAGATGCCTTGCGCAGCCGACACGGAAGTCGTCGTCGAGAAATCGCTGTATTTCGGCAATGCGAGCGTGCCGACGCTGGTTGCTGACGTCACGCCCGACGTTCGTCTGCTGTTGGTCGTCTGCGACCCGGTGCAGAGAGCGATGTCGCATTATCTCGAGCGGAGGACGTCGCGCGAGTTCGCCTGGTTGCGCGGTCGGCCGCTAGAGGACGCGTTCGTCGACGCGCGCACGGGAGCCGTGAACGCGACGGTGGCGTTCGTAGCGGCCGGCGCGTACGTCGACTTCCTGTCGGCCTGGCAGGAACACTTCCCGCCGTCGCGCATGCTCGTCGTCGACGGAAACGCGCTGCACTTCGATCCGGTTCCGGAGATGAACCGGATCGAGCGATATCTCGGCGTACCGGAGAACATCACCGGATCCGACTTTTTCTTGAACGAGAAAACCGGATTCCTCTGTCTATCGCGCCGCGGGAAGTGCCTCCCGAAGAACAAAGGAAGACGACATCCGCCGTTCCCTGCAGGCGTGAAGGAGAAGCTAAGAGAGTTCTTCTTGCCGCGTAACGAAGCTTTCTTCTCTAGCGTCGGTCGTCGATTCGACTGGTGACACGAACCAATGGTTGGCACGACTGTCCCAAGATCACACAGGAATAGCACTGTGCGATAGCAAAATAGTAAGATTGTAAGATAGTAAGACTTTAAAACTGAAAGACTGAAAGATAGTAAGACTGTGAGATAGTAAGACTTTAAAACGGAAAGACGTTAAGATAGTAAGACTGTGAGATAGTAAGACTGTAAGATAGTAAGACGTTAAGATAGTAAGACTGTGAAATAGTAAGACTGTGAGATAGTAAGACTGTGAGATAGTAAGACTTCAAGATAGTAAGACTGTGAGATAGTAAGACTTTAAGATAGTAAGACTGTGAGATAGTAAGACTGTAAGATAGTAAGACGTTAAGATAGTAAGACTGTGAAATAGTAAGACTGTGAGATAGTAAGACTTTAAGATAGTAATAAAACTGTGAGATAGTATGATAGTAAGACTTCAAGATAGTAAGACTTCAAGATAGTAAGACTGTGAGATAGTAAGACTGTAAGACTGTGAGATAGTAAGACTTTAAGATAGTAAGACTGTGAGATAGTAAGACTGTAAGATAGTAAGACTGTAAGATAGTAAGACTGTAAGACTGTGAGATAGTAAGACTGTGAGATAGTAAGACGTTAAGATAGTAAGACTTTAAGATACTAAGACTGTGAGATAGTAAGACTTCAAGATAGTAAGACTGTGAGATAGTAAGACTTTAAGATAGTAGGACTGTAAAACAGGAAGTTAGTAAGACTGTGTGTATAATAATGTATATATTTGCTAGTAGCCTTTAATGAAACATTACAATGTAAGCACTAAACAATACACGTGTTATGATTTGACGTCGTATTGCACTAATGACGTCAACGATTTCTCATCCGCAACCGCCAAAACCTACATGCAGTGCTAGTATGATGAGATCAGAGATCTAGAGATCTAGATCTATAGACTATCCTATCATATCGTCTATATTATACACTCCTTATGAGATTATAGCGTCCTGCCTCCAGCTCTCACGCGACCCCCCCCCACACTGTTCCACGCGACCCACATTTCGTGTGGGCTAATGAGAATTCCCGTATCATCTCTATGATGTAGCATATGCTGCTTGTGTCAACAGCAAACCTCAAAACCCTCATTATAATAACGAAGGTACGCCCTCGGCGAAATGCATACATTCTGCTTTTCCTATGTTGTGTCGATACATAACAGGTACCCTTAGAAATGCACGCGTAAAGTATTGTCCAGAAAATCTATAATACATCGATACATTTTGTTTTCTATATATTGGAAACTTCGTTTCGTTTCGTGTTTTTGTCGTTATGCTAACGGTTAGCTCTAGTACTATAGCCCGCGTACAGTTGCAGCAAGCCTGCCACGCATGCGGCAACTGTACGCGGGCTATAGTACTAGAGCTAACTATAACGGTGTGCTCTGCGGTGCTAACGCTATGCGGTTATGCTACAAATGAAGGTAGTTATGGAAGCAATTACTGGCAGAAATAATAATAATAGTACGCTTGATATCTTCCTTAATTGCTATTTACGCTTCTCCGATCTGGTCCGTAATGAGATTGACATTTACATAATTATGTACACATATACACAATTGTATAGTATATATGTATCCACATATGCGCTACAACGCAGTCAGTGAATCCACAAAACCTTCACTGTTTTATTTCTATTCTTCATGCCATCCATTCATGGAACCATCGACACATATCACGTTGTCATCGTCGTCGTTGATTTTTTACAGGTACAAATCATTTTTGTCACCGGACGTTAATCTCAATAATATTGTTGTTTGTGACGCGGGGGATTATGGGGGTTTTAAATTCGCGCTTTCTTTGTTAGATCGGTGAATTCGTTTTGCGCATTGGTGTTTTCTATCCGGGATTTTTTAGACGAGTAACTCTCTAATGCACTGTTTCAGCGATTCTGTTTCTGTTTGTAATGCGAGATGTGCCCGAAGCAACAAAACGCTAAGGAGGATAAACCACAGCGAGTAAAAACCCGCGCAGACTAAAGGACAAAGAACTTTTTAGTATGTGGACTTTGTTCGTCAATGTCTAAAGCATTCACATTGTTGCCTGGGGGTTAACCGTCATCGATAAGGTTAAGGTTACCGCCTCCCCTCCGCCTCCTACGCCTCCCCCTCCTCCGCTCTTCCTCCGCCCCCTCCCCCTCCGCCGCCTCCGCCGTCGCCTCTCTACCGTGACGACTGTTCACCTTGCTACGGCCTGCAATCTTCTCGCGTCTCCGCCGCCTCCCCCTCCTCCCCCTCCTCCGCCTTCCCTGTTGCCTCTCTACCGTGACGGGTGTTCACCTCGCTACGGCCTGCAATCTTCTCGCTTCGCTTCTTGCTGCTGTTGTCACGGTCGCATTTCCTCACCACTATCTGTTGACAATTCATCGACGATATATATATATCATCGATCTGCGACGGTGTCGCGTCGCCCCGCGCGACGCAGACGAACTCTCACGACAGCCATCTAGCGTCGGTTCATAAACAATAATTACATTAATTAATTAATTAATTAATTAAATTATTTGTTTATTTATTTATTTACATAATTAATTAATTATTCATTTATTCATTTATTTATTATTAATTAGTTATCGATCATTTAAAATCGAGTATTAACGTGGTTGATAACTTTTTGGCTCGGTAGCGGTTGGGAATAGAATATCGAGAATATGTGAAGGTGATGGACAAATATTGTCAATACGACCGCAGCTAATGCTATTTTACCACGGCACGAGAGTCCACAATTGGCAACGGTAAACACAACTGAAAATCAGGCTTACTACACGAATCATAGAATAGACAAAATCAAAAAACTAAAATCACACCCCACCCCCACCTCCCTGCTAGGTCGTATTACAGCGTAATAACAACTTCGATCTATATCAAGAGTGTATTAAGTATGCTTAATACGTAAGCATACTCAATACACTCTTGTCTATATTGTTTAGCCGGCTATGTAGGGACAACAGCGTGTGTGAGTCACGTTAGATGCAGTGTAACGTTAAGCTCGTTTATCAAACTACAGAACTTGCAGACAGCTCAACAAGTAGATACATCAGCTATAGGCTCTGTGATCGTATATAGACAGATCACTCATGGACAGGTGGGTATTGTCAGACGAACACTGGGGGCAGGGGGAACTAGATTTGAAAGGCTGAACACCAACATGCATTGGGTTGCTGACAGGCGGAGGTTCCAACGCCTACTACGCATGGGCAAACAACAAAGTTGCAAGAAGAAGAAACGGTTCAGCAAGGAAGACCTTCGAAGGCGCAGGTCAGGAACGGCGATAATGAATGACTCCTAAGGCCAGAGGGAGACTCTTAGCTATAGAGATTACAAGGTAGAAGAGACTCCCGAAGAAACTACCGAAATTATAATATCAGCTCTCTACTTCTCTCTCTCTCATCTCTCTCTCTCTCTCTCTCTCTTCTTCGCGCTCTCTCTCTTCTTATTCTCTCATTCTCTTCTCTCTCTCTCTCTCTCTCCTCTCTCCTCTCTCTCTCTCTCTCTTCTCTCTCTCTCTCTTAGTCGCCGGCTCTCTCTCTCGCCTCATTCTTCTCTCTCTCCTCTCTCTCTCTCTCTCTCTCTCTCCTCATCTCGTACTCTCTCTCTCTCATTCTGGCGCTTCTACACCCCCTCTCTCTCAGAACGCCGTTACACGCTCTAATTATGTTTCCGACATCAATTTTACCGCGGCATATAGAGCGGCCGAAGAAAGATATATGAGAGGTGAGAAAAATTATAAACCAGCTGCTCGATATATAGGAAGACAGGAATAGATAAAGAAGAAGAGCGAGAAGGAAGAAGTAAGCAAGAGCACATGATTGAATTCAGATGATGATGATGCATGATGATGATGTCGACGATGATGATGATAGGTATAATGGCTGACGATGATTATTGATCATGATCATAAAGAAGACGAATAGAAGAAGAAGAACGAAGGAAAAGCAAGAGAAAGAAGAAAAGAAGAAGAAGAAGGCGGAGACACACCTAAAGACTACAAGAATATGACATCTAGACAACTACAAGAAGCAGGACTCCTAAGAATAACCAATTATAAGAGACTCCTTGAAAACAACAAGTTAGGGCGAGACTTCTGCCAGAGTCCATGGTAGATGAGGAAGACTCATAGAACATACAAGAGAAGAGATTCAGATAGAGACTACAAGTAGGCGAAGCCACTTCTAAAAATACAAAGAGGAGCACTCCCAGAGCCTTACATAGCGGCGGAAGTCTTCTAGATACTACAAAGGTGGGGAAACTGCTGGACGGCTTCAAGTTCCGGCGTTCCCTCTGCTTGTCTCCCACACCGATAGCTTTAATGACAAGACTGGTGTCAGCCAGTGCACACTCATTTCGCGCTGCCATCTATAGTGACTACCGGCTTCTATCCTTCGCTATTGTTCAACCGTTAAGATGTGACACTGTGACCTTCCCCGTTTACAAATGATCGTTGGGAAACATTTTGGACCTGGCTAAATGAGCCATCGGCTGTGTACACGACACAACACGCGCGCACGGCCGCACAGACAGACACACACACACATACACACACACACACACACATACAACGACACACACACACACACACACACAACATCACACACCACACACACACACACAAACTATCATATATTATATATATTATATTTATATATATATATAATAACATACTATACTACATAATAGACCTGAACGTTTAATTTGGTAGCAACCGCCCCGTGTCTCATGAGGGGGGGGGGAAGTACGACGAAAATCGATGTCGAACCACAACTAGAACGTAATCGTTGTTTTATTGATGCATCCCATAATTGATCGCGTTTTTTTACGTTTTGTCAAGTGTTGTCGGTAATGAGCGAATGTTATTGGAAGGATGTGTGAATTAAACCATTGATTTTTATAAATATTGTGTTGTTATAAAACGTTGTGTTATAGATCTCTCTCCCTCTTATCGACTCTATAATTGCAATAAATAATATCTGAATAATAATATAATATCTCTATCTCATCTTAATTGCAATTTAATTGCGATTAATGAGTAACTACGTACTTCTAATGTGCGCATGCATGTTCCACACACAGTTTTTTCATGTCATATAATGACAGTGTGTGTATCGGGCGTACGCATCATGCATACGTATACGCATACGGGCGTACGCATTATGCTAATCACAATTGTCGTTGAAATTTCTGACAACGGCCCTCACAGTAAGCTAGCATCGGCGTATTTTAATATGCGTTCTGATGCATGCTTATGTGGGCCCTTTTCTCTCGTGGCCTATCTCCTCATTTGGCAATTGCTTTCTCATTTTTCGTTGATTTCCCACGACAACCTCATGTATGTATGTATGAGAAATTAAAATCCGGACCAATGGTACAATGGTTCGATGCTTCTTCAGGCCTGCTGCCTATGGACGCCTTCTATATACTGCTGTCCACCACCTAAACTGCTGTTCACCACCTAAATCCACCACATGAGGCCGTGACAATTAGCTTGTACACACTTAAGCCGGTCTGCATGATGTCGGGTTGCGATTGAATGCGACGCGACGCGACTGCTTACACGCGACATCGCACATTTATTTACACGCGAATGGCACATTTATTTACACGCGACGTCGCACATGCATAGCCGCGCGCGCCTCGATCGCACGAGAGTTTATTAACAGTTTATCGTATATGTACATTGTATATGTTTATTGTATATCGTGACAGTACTGGCAATAAAAATCGCCACGTGGGCGGGACCCGGCGACAATGCAACCATCGATCTGTCAGCAACATACCACTGTATGAACTGATTACGTGATTTGTTCAAAATGGACGCGCCAATTGACACCACGATAGCCGTTCTTCAAGTTATTGGAATATATTTAATAATTATGCGTCGGCGTCGTCGACAGACAGCAGCGAGAGAGAGACGTACATGGGCACGTACGTGGGTGCTGCGACGTGATTCGCGTGGTGTTTTTAGTAATTTAGTAAGAGAACTGGAGCTTGAAGATTCAGTGACGTACCAGCGTTATTGTAGAATGAAAAAAGAACATTTCAATGCAATTTTGACACTGGTAGGGGCAAGGATAAGCAAGAAGAACACAGTGATGCGGAAATCCATTGCACTAAACGAACGTTTAGCATGTGGAAAACGAACGTGGGCGCTGCCATATTTGATCACGTGCTTCAAATCATGCATTTGATTGGTTAATCCAAACACTGTTGCCTGAATCCGTCGCCAGTGCAGCGCACACG